TTTGCACTATCAAAAAACTTTGGAAATTGATGACTCAAGTCTAGTGATTTTTAAGGACATCCCAAAGCATTTGCTGGACTTAAGGTCCAATTATGGAGACCTAGTGACCTTATTGAAAAGAAACAGAATTCTTTTCAGGTGGGAATTTCCGCAAGGCCTGTCCTTCAAATATAAAGGGAGAAAGATAAAAATAAAATCAACTGAGGAAAAAGACAGATTCTTGAAAGACCACGAGGAAGATCTACTGAAAGAAGGGAATCTGAAGAAGAACCAAAAGGCATACTAGACATATCAAATTTATCTTTTGGACTGCACGGTCCAGAAAAAGTGATACTACCCACAGAACAAGAAGCGGCACTTGGGGCAGTTGGAGGTAAAGTGAAGTAGCCCCCACCATGGCTCTGCAACTATTAAGCTGGAATTGTAACGGTTTGAATTCTCCGCGAAGAAGAAAAAGTGTGTTTCATTTATTAAAAAAAGAACAATTGGACTTGATTTGTCTACAAGAGACACATATAATAAGGGCACATAGGAAGTTATTGATTAATAAAAGATTAGGACAGGAGTTTGTCTCATCTGACAAAGTTAAAAAAAGAGGAGTCGTGATTTATGCAAAGGAGAGACTTTTACCGAAATTTATCTTTAAAGATGATCAAGGAAGATTTTTGGCAATTGAAATTCAACTACAAGGAGAGAAATTCTTAATCGTGGGAATTTATGCACCGAACGAGGGAAATCTGAATTCTATAAAAGTTGCATGAGACTTTATTGGATCATTTGGACTATAATTTGATTCTGATGGGGGACATGAATGGAGTAGTATCTACAAATATGGACAAGGCTCAAAGACAGGTAGTCACCAAGGATGGTAGACTACCGAAAACTTTTTTTGAGATGACAGACAATATGGACTTAGTGGACATCTGGAGGGTAAAGAACCCCCTGGGAAGAGAAGGAACCTTTTTTTCTGAAGCCAAGATGACATGGACTAGAATTGACCAAATATGGATAACTAGAGGAATGGCACCAAAGATAAAGAAGGTAGAAATCTGCCCAAAAACTTGTTCCGACCATAATGCTGTAAGGATGGAGATGAAACAAACAACAACCGGATCCTTTAGATGGAGGATGAATGACACCTTATTTAGAGATGAAGAAGTTTACAAAAGGCCCAAAAGACTTTGAGAGATTATTTTGAAATAAATATGAATACCAATGTAGAAAAAAGAGTAATCTGGGACGCAAGCAAAGCTGTGATGAGAGGGTTTTTGATACAACAGAATGCAATAAAGAAGAGAAGTCAAAATGAAAAGAAAGATAAAATCTTGGAAAAAATAAAAGAAGGAGAGAAGAAATTGAGAGCAAAACCAAAGTCCCAGGAGATTTTGAGAGAAATAAAATTATATCAAGTACAATATATGGAAATGATGAATCAGGAAATAGAATGGAAAATCAAACAAATGAGACAAAAAACATTTGAATCAGCTAATAAATGTGGAAAACTGTTGGCCTGGCAAATGAAAAAAAAGACAAAAATTAAATACTATTATAAATTTAGAAGTGGAAGGAAAGAGTATACATAATCCAAATGAGATTAGAAATTGCTTCCAGAAGTACTTTAAACAATTATACACACAAGGGCCACAGAAGGAAATGGACATAGACCAATTTTTGAAGACAAATGGCCTACAAAAATCTCTCAAGAAAGTAAATTAATGCTGAACTATAAAATATCTGAACAGGAAGTAGAAGGTGCCATACAAAATATGCAATTGGGCAAATCTCCAGGACCGGACGGGCTGACTTCCAGATACTATAGATCTTTGAAAGAGTGGTTACTGCAACCTTTGAAGGAAGTCTGCAATGAAATACTGGAGGGGGAAAGGGGCACCAGAATCGTGGAAAGAGGCGTACATCACACTTATACCGAAAACAGAGACTGAAAAGACTCAGCTTAAGAACTATCGCCCTATATCGTTACTTAATGTGGATTACAAAATTTTTGCAGACATTTTGGCCAAGAGATTGAAAAAATATTGATGAAAGAGATTCATAAAGACCAAGCGGGCTTTCTCCCGGGAAGACATCTGTCTGATAACTTGAGGAATATAATTGATATTTTGGAAAAATTAGAAGTGAATATAAACACCAAAGCAGTATTTATATTTGTTGACGCGGAGAAAGCTTTTGATAATATCTCTTGGAGTTTTATGAAGAAGAATCTGCATGGGATGGGGGTAGGCCAAGGTTTTGAAAATGGTATAGGTGCAATATACTCTGAACAAAAGGCTAAATTAATTGTAAATAATGTGGTTACGGAAGAATTTAAGATAGAAAAAGGGACACGACAGGGGTGCCCAATTTCCCCACTGCTTTTTATATCGGTCCTGGAGGTTTTGCTAAATATGATTAGAAAGGACCGGTTGGTTAAGGGCATACAGGTCGGAGCTAAACAGTACAAATTGAGAGTATTTGCAGATGACCTAGTATTGACGTTACAGGAGCCAGAATCTAGTACTAAAAGAGTTTTAGAATTAATTCAGGAATTTGGTCAGGTGGCAGGTTTTAAATTGAACAAGTTAAAAACTAAGGTTTTAGAGAAAAACTTAACACCGATTGAAAGAGAGAGGTTTCAGAATGAGACAGGATTGAATGTGGTAAAGAAAGTGAAATACTTGGGGATTAATATGACAGCCAAAAATGGGAACTTATTTAAAGATAATTACGAAAAATGTTGGACAGAAGTGAAAAAGATTTAGAAATTTGGTCAAATTTGAAACTCTCGTTGCTGGGCCGTATTGCTGTGATAAAGATGAATGTATTGCCTAGAATGTTGTTTTTGTTTCAGACATTACAAATTGTAGATAAGATGGACTGTTTCAAGAAGTGGCAGAGAGATATTTCTAGATTTGTCTGGCAGGGCAAGAAACCCAGAATAAAATTTAAGATATTAACTGACGCTAAGGAAAGAGGTGGATTTGCCCTGCCAGACCTTAAACTTTATTATGAATCAGCAGCTTTTTGCTGGCTGAAAGAATGGCTACTTCTTGAAAACACAGACATTTTGGATTTAGAAGGTTTTAACAATGTATTTGGATGGCATGCATATTTATGGTATGATAAGGTCAAAGCACACAAAGCATTCAAAAATCATATTGTTAGGAAAGCATTGTTTAATGTCTGGATAAGATACAAAGACTTATTGGAAAATAAAACCCCAAGGTGGCTGTCATCAATGGAAGCAAAAGCTCTGAAAAGGCTCAATATGGAGGCCAAATGGCCGACATATTGGGAAATTTTGGAGCAAGAAGGAGATAAATTGAGACTGCAGAGTTTTGAAAAATTAAAAAATAAAGTGAGAGATTGGCTCCACTACTATCAGATAATGGAGGCATATAACTTGGATAAGAAAATAGGCTTCCAAGTGGAAAAGTCAAAATTAGAAACAGAATTGTTAGAACCCAAAACTAAAAATTTGTCAAGAATGTATAACTTGCTGTTGAAATGGAATACTCAGGATGAAACGGTGAAATCTGCTATGATTAAATGGGCACAAGATGTTGGACATAACATTATGTTCGCTGACTGGGAACAGTTATGGACCACAGGTATGAAGTTTACGGCATGTAATGCCTTAAGAGAGAATATTATGAAAATGATATACAGGTGGTACATGACCCCAGTCAAGCTTGCAAAAATTTATCATTTGCCCGATAATAAATGTTGGAAATGTAAAGAAACTGAAGGTACATTCTTTCACCTTTGGTGGACGTGCCCAAAGATTAAGGCTTTCTGGGAAATGATATACAATGAACTGAAAAAGGTATTTAAATATACCTTTCTGAAGAAACCAGAGGCCTTTCTCTTGGGCATTGTCGGCCAACTGGTGCCAAAGAAGGACAGAACCTTTTTTATGTATGCTACAACAGCAGCAAGAATACTTATCGCAAAGTATTGGAAGACACAAGATCTACCCACTTTGGAAGAATGGCAGATGAAGGTGATTGACTACATGGAATTGGCGGTAATGACTGGCAGAATCCGAGACCAGGGAGAAGAGTCGGTGAAAGAAGATTGGAAAAAATTTAAGGACTATTTACAGAAATATTGTAAAATTAAGGAACTTTAGAAGGATGTTGGATAGAAATTAAGAGGTTTTTAGCTGTAATGCTTTAAGAGACATGAAAAAAAAGGTTAACAATTGGGTAAAAGATTAATGGTAAGGATTTGCTGAACCAACAAACTGAATTGGAATACAAAGAAGGGAGGTATGAGGAGGTCTGGGGAAATAAGAGTAAGGAAGATAGGTTATGGAACATCATTGTGTTTTTAATTGTTTTATTTTGTATGTTTTTTCTTACTTTTTACTTTTTTGCTGTAATTTATACTTTTTTCTTTGTTTTCTGTATTTTTGTGAAACTTTAATAAATATCATTTAAAAAAAAGAAGAAGTTTACTGCAACCCTGACACAAGTTTGCCTTCAGATCACAACAAAGAAATAGCTATGAACTCAAGAGTGGAGAACTAGACAAATTTTGTTTGTCTCAAAGTCAAGTCCTGCTATTAAGATGCCTTCTGCAAAATGGAAACATACACAGACCTTCTTTGAGTGTCAATGTGATATAAGTGAGCAACACTTTTTTTGGAGGAAAGGTGATCTGGGTGGAGGAAAGATCAGAACCTCACATCAGTTACACCCATCTTCTAATTGCAATCAAGTGCTATCGTAGTCATTAATTAAATGTTCAAAACACCCATGTGAGGCAATTCTCAGTCCTCATTCTACAAATGAGTACCCTGAGCAGCAGATAGCCTAGAGAAGAAGCAAGGCTGGGGCAGATTTGGGAACACAGCAAGACACCGACAGAATCACACTTGACTTCGGACGAAGTTGCTTTACATCAAGTCAGATTATTGGGTCCATCTAGCTCAGAACTGTCAACACTGACTAGGAGTGGCTCTGCAGGGTTTCAGGCATGAAACCTTTCCCTGTCCTATCTGGAAATGCCAGGGACTGAACTTGGGATCTTTTGCATGCAAAGCAGATGATCTACCACTGAGCTACAGTCCATCCCCAAGAGAAGACACTTTGCAAAAATGAAGGGATTGGTAAAAGGGAAGTTGAAAAGCAGAGTCAGGAAGGTAAAATCTTTCCAGAATTCCTGTGAACTGTTCAAAACCATAATAATAGAAGTCATGAAACAATACATACCATGTATCAGAAAAGGTACTGCCAGAACTAAGAGGATGCCAGCATGGTTAATGAGCAGAGTGAAGGAAGCTTTTAAAGAGGCAAGAAGGCTCCCTTAAGAAGATGGAAATCTTATCCAAATGAGAATGAAAAGGAACACATATATTTGCCAAAAAAACAGTGCAAGTAGACAACAAGGGATGCAAAAAATAATTTGAGAAGCACACTGCTTCTCACAAGCAGTGAGAAAAAAATCACAAAGACAAACAACAAAAAATTTCCTCAGGTATGTTAGAAGCAGAAAACCAGCTGAGGACTGGGCTGGACCTTCGGATGGCAAGGGAGTCAAAGGTGTGCTGAAAGAAGAAAAGGAGATTGCAAAGAAGCTGATTGATTTTTTTCTTTTTCACCTGTCTTCACAGCAGAAGTTGTAGGGTAGATCCTGTGCCTAAATTAGCTTTCTCAGAATGGAAGTCTAAAGAACTGAGACAAACAGTAGTGACAAGAGATGAAGTTCTAGGTCTTACTGTCAAATCAGAAACTGACAAATTACTGAGTCTGGATAGCTTCCACCCAAGTGTTCTTAAAAAAGCTCAAATGGGAAATTTATGATCTTATAACAAAAATATGCAACACGTCCCTAAGATCAGTCTCCATACTTGAGGAGTGGAGAGTGGGCAAACTAACACCAATTTTTAAACAAGGTTCCAGAGAGGATCCAGGAAATTACAGACCAGTTTGCTTAATGTTTTCTTTTCTGGGAAAACTAGTGGAAATCATTGTTGAAGATAGTACTACCAGGCATATAGAAGAAAAAGTCTTGCTGAAGCAGAACCAGCATGGCTGCTCTAAAGGTAGGTCCTGCGTTCCTTAACTTTTAAGAGTTTGGTGTTTCTTAGAGTGACAGCAAGCATATAAACAGAGGTGACCTAGTTAATACTTTATACCTCAAGCAAAGACTTTTGACTAAGCTTGGCAGTCATAAGATAAGAGAAGTACCTCAGAAGCTAGTTAAGGAACAAGAAGCAGAGAGCAGGAACAAACGCACAAGCCTCCCAACAGAGGGATGTAGAAAGGAGAGCCTCCCAAGGGTCGGTATTGGTACCTGCATTTCTTAACTTATTCATAAATAATCTGCAGAGTAAGGGATGAGCAGTGAGGCCGCCTTAAAGAAAAAGGGATTGTGAAGAGCTCCAAAAGAATCTCTCCACACTGGTCGAATAGGCAGAAAAATGGAAAATGCTGTTCAATGTAAGCAAGTGTGAAGCAATGCAGTCATAGTTACCGTATTTTTTGCTCTATAAGACTCACTTTTTCCCTCCTAAAAAGTAAGGGGAAATGTGTGTGCATCTTATGAAGCAAATACAGGCTGCACAGCTATCCCTGAAGCCAGAACAGCAAGAGGGATTGCTGCTTTCACTGCGCAGTTGCTGTTCTGGCTTCTGAGATTCAGAATATTTTTTTTCTTGTTTTCCTCCTCCAAAAACTAGGTGCGTCTTGTGGTCTGGTACGTCTTATAGAGCGAAAAATACGGTAATAGCTAAATGAAGATGTTAGCCCATGTGCAGCAGCTGTGAAAAGAGTGAATTCCATGTTTGGGATCATTAGAAAAGGAACTGGGGAAAAACCAACCCTGACATTATACAAATCTATGGTGTGACCACATTTGGAATACTGTGCACAGTTCTGGTTACCTCACCTCAAAAACGATATTGCAGAAGTGGAAAAGATATAAAATAACACAACTAAAATGATCAAAGGGCTAGAGCGAATTCCCTAGGAGGAAAGGTTACCACACTGGGGGCTTTTTAGATTAGAAAAAAGGCAAGTAAAAGCATAGAGATGTATAAGATTATGTCTTGGGTGGAGAAAGCAGACATGGAGAAGTTCTTATCCTGTCTCATAATACTAGAATCCAAGGCCATTCAATGAAGATGAATGTTGAAAGACTCTGGACAGACAAAAGGAAGTACTTTATTATTATTTATTAAATTTGTATGCCACGCTTCATTGGTAAATCTCAGGGCACTTCACAGCATAAAAATATAATATAAAAACACAATACATAATAAAACAAATACCAAAACGAAATGAAACAACCCCCTCCCCCTTTCACACAGTGCATTGTTAACCTATGGAACTTGCTCCCAAGAGGCAGCCATGGCCACCAAGATGTTCAGCTTCAAGCAGGCATTCGGCCAGTTCATGGAGGATAAGGCTATCAATGGCTACGCAGCATGACTTTCTGCCTCCCTAGGCCAGTGGCTGGGAATCACAAGGGAGGAGAGTGCTGTTGTGCTCAAGTCCTGCCTGCCGACTTCCAGCTGGCCTCGGGGAGAGCAGAGGGATGGACTAGATGGGTCTTTGATCTGATCCAGCGAGGCACTTCTTATGTCCTCTTTGTCTCAATTCGTTTGGTAGACCCTAAGACTTAAAAGTATTAAATGGCAGGTCAGCACTGGCTGAGGAGGGGCCATTACTGGAGAAAAGGTGGCACGTGCAAACTGAATTAAGCCGTGTGGCAGATCCTCTGCACAAAGAAAACACTCAGAATTGAATGGTAGAAACAAAGTTCATTCACTTTTTATGCAGGGCTCCCAGAAAACAAAGTGATACAAAAGCAAGGCATATTTTACGCTGACATTTGGAAGTAGGGTGGGAGCCCCTCAACAACAGACCTGTCCTCCCCAGACATGCATGTTTTAACTGCCTTGTTCACTTCAGAGTTGGCTGCCGTCTTAATGAATGAGTCTGACCTCCCACAGCCTAGTCTGCGCGTCATCAAGACCCTTTTCTCCCTCTGAAGACGTATGGCATTCCGGCGCTCCGTGAATAGCCCAATTCATTCAAGAAGCGGCAGCACGAACTCACCCTGGCCTTCTCGGCATGAATTAGCAACTATTACAGTCAATGTGGTCTCTGCCAGCTATTGACAAACTGAACTGAGGGTGATTGTTTGCTTTTACACACAGACAAACCTCTAGAGTTTGATTCCTCTGGCATTCACATTTAAAAATGAGGCCACCATATGCACAAGAACTGACGCTGCCGCAATTTGCTGCTGGAGAGAAAGGCAGGAGCTACAGATTTCTGAAAAAGGAACCATCTTGACAATGCCCCCTTTTTTCTCAATGAAATAAATTTTCTGAAATTCTACAGCACCCCCAACCCTTCCCTGCAACGCAGTATTTAAGAATGTTGCTACTATGTACGCAAAGGCCCAAGAGACTTAAGGTCACCACTAGTTCTCTACCTGATCATGAGGTTGCCTTAGGCAAAGTCATAATCTTGGTGCACCTAACCAAGTCTTGTTTATTTGGAACTTTATGCATACAATGTATGTTCCTTACCGCTGAGCTATGGACCTCTTCTAATCCAGAACAACCAGTATGAGACTCAAACCTGCAGCCATGGCTTTCACCTTGAGCCTACTCTGCTTTTGCCATGTTCTCAGATGCATCTTTCACGGGGCTTTGAAAAGAGACTCAATAAGCTATGTTCAGGAGAACTTTTGGAAGGAAGTGAAAGCAGCACGCAAAACCAGAAATGCCCCACCTGACTTCTTCCCAGAAGCAGTTTACAGTGGTTTCACCACAAGCTCCAAAAGAGCCCACAGTGAGAGATGAAGCTTTTCTACTGCTTAATATAAAAATGTTGCAACATTCAATAAAAGTTCCTAAAAACGAGATTTAAAACAAAATGCAACTGTGTATCACAAACCAAACTGAGAAGTACAAAGCAAACAAGAAAATTAAAAGCTTGATAAAAATGTAAGTAAATATGTTTGGTGTTCAAAGGTCATTACTGTCTCAGCCTGAGCCAATTTAAAGAGTCAGGGAAGCCAATTTTAGTTTGCAGCCCAATAATCCTAAATGCTCTTGATACGCATAAGCTTTGTGCTGCATTGTACCTGCTAAAGGAAGCATATGGTGTTTTGGAGGACATACTAAATTCATTTATACACAAAGAGTACCTTCCCAATGATTTTCCCAATTCCAATCTCTAATTAGAATACAAAATTAACTCCTCCTATTGCTTTTAGAATATTTTTCCTCACTCAGTTCTGCACGGATGCATAAGCAGAACACAGCCAGTTTATAAGCATTTTTGTTATAGAATGTTTTTCTCTTTTTAAAAAAGCTCAGAATTATTACATCAATGTGTTGTGCTGTGGACTTTTTTAATAATATCAATTTCTAGATTTGAGCACTGGGCTTTTAGCAAGTTCTGATTTAAACACAAGGGTGGGGGCTTAAAATAAGTAGAAGCCCTTAAGGGAGTTTATTTTGCAATGATAACACAGTTCTACTTTGTAAAAGATTTAATACACATCTTTTTGTTTTGAACTAAAGAACACACAAATAATGTCTTGTTCCCAAACAGATTCACCCTGAAGAACATCCCTATTATTGTATAGCAGAAGCAAAATCTTACAAGTGTCTGCCTAAGTTTGTTAGTTTATGGTGAAGTTTGGCAAATGGCACCAACTTCCCATTGCAGGGGTGGGGGACCAAGGAGGATGGTCTCCCCACAGAGACTTTTGGAATCCAATGGATTTCTGAATGCTCTGTCTGGGGGATTTTCTGGTGGATAGAACTGATGGTCCTGCTGCAGAGGGCCACAGATATGATCGCTCCTGAATGCCCTCTCCAACACCGTGGAGAGCATTCAGCTCCTGGTATACAGTACTGGGGAACTACATGCGATGAAACAGACCATAAGATAGCTAGAGCACAATTGTGCCTACTGCATGGCAAAGGGCTGCTTCGCTACTTCCATCTCACCCTTGAGAGAACAGCCAGCAAAGCTCTTCAGGGTGGTCCACAGGCTGTTGACATCTATATTGGTGTATGGAGCCCACAAAACCTTGGAGAAACTCTGTGAG